TAAATTGCATATTCTTTAACGATCGAATAGCCACTGAATTGTATGCACATTTGTGACCGAGTTTGTCTTCGGTGGCTAAATTAGCGACGAAACAAATTCGGTCGCTAAAAATAATAAAAAATATTATTATTTATAATAATGTTAGCGACCAAATTAAAATCAGTCGCTAAATGTAAATTTTTTAAAAAAATTAAGAATATTTTTTATAAAGGAAAACAAATATAAAAATATAATATTGTTTTTATAATGATAAAAAAAATTAATGATAAGAAATAAAAATTATGACCTTCCCAATAATTGTTTTTTAAATAATATAAATTTTATAATTAAAATAGATAATATATCATGAAAAATGTATTTCTCTTTTATCATACTTAATATTTTATTTTATTAGATAATATGAAAACACATAATTTATTGTGCTTTCCAATTTTGTTAAGGTAAATAAATTTCTTTTTGTAAATCTTATTTTATTTTAATTATTATTTTAAAATTAGACTTAAACATCTAGTTCAATTTTTAATCTTTTGATTTAATACTGGATTTCTTTTGATTGTAAAACATAGTAAATAAAATCTAAAATCTGTAATAATTTCTTAAATACAAATATTTAATTAATTTTAATATATACTAAAATTAATATCATAATATTTATTATGATTTTAGTTATGATTTTTTTATAATCTTTTGAGTTAATACTGGATTTCTTTTGATTATAAAACATAATAAATAAAATCTAAAATTTGTAATAGTTTCTTAAATACAAATATTTAATTAATTTTAGTATATACTAAAATTAATATCATAATATTTATTATGATTTTAGTTATGATTTTTCATAATCTTTTGATTTAGGGGGTGTATTGGATTAGGATTTTAAAAGACTTTGCAGGATTTTCATGACTTTTAAGACTTTCTAGGATTCTGCAAGACTTTAAATCAGGATTTTAATATATTTTGCAAGACTTTTAAAAAAGAACTTTAATGGATTTTATGGAACTTTGTGGATTTTGTAGAATTTTCGTGGATTTTTGACATTTGATAAGATATCAATTTTTTTTTTCATACATTCAAATTTAAAAAGAGTCAAAGACTAAAATAATAAAAAATAACAATGTCTAGATAAACAATAATAATAATAATAATAATAATAATAATAATAATAATTCTCATATCCTCTTAAATAGCATCCACCCACCTATCTATAATTATACTTGTAACATCCCAAATTTTCTACTAATATAATAGTTATTATTATTATTTTTATATTTATGGACATTATTTTCTTATAATTATTTTAATTAAGTAAATGAGATTTAGTAAATATTTTGAATTTTAATAGCCCAAAATGGGTCGTTCCCAAACTGGAACAGGTCGTTCCAAATTACTAAAATGACCTATAACCCTAGTTAGGAGCGAGCCATTCTGGTTTAATAACGGGTCATTCTGGATATGAATTTTACACATGATGAATGAGTCCAGAAAGGGCCGTTCCAAATTCGAAACAGGCCATTCTGGCCACTCCTGGTGTCTATAAATAGCACGCTCTGGCACTCCCAAAAGCACATTTTTCACTTCTGACTTCTTGTCCTTCTACACTCTTTGAAGACCGAGGGGAACCCGAGGAGGAGACCAACCAGATCCTGCTTTAGTTTTAGCTACTGCTTATCGAGGTACGGGGGAAAAAGAGAGATTTATGTGTAGAGTTACATGAGGGAATGGGTGGAGAAGAGTTTCTGTGGAATTTCTAATAATTTTATAATTGTTTCTGTTTGGAGAATTATTAGTATCATGAGATTCTGTATGTGTTTAGGATTATAAATATATGCAAATAATTTGTAAAAATGATGATCTAGGAGAGAGAACGAAATCGTAAAAAAGTGCCTGTGAGCTAGGTTTTGGAAAAATTAGGGGCTTTAATATTTGATTTAAGATTCTATTAAATTGGTGATTCAATCAGGTTTTATATTAATTTATAAATGTTATTGTTGTATTATTTGGTAAAAATTGATGATCTAGATGTGGATTCATGAGGAATTGCTTGAGGGGTATGTGAACCACTATTTTGTGTGGACTTATCTATTTTGTGTATGTGATGTGGAATTGAGTTATGGAATATGGGGTGATGTCTTGGAACAAATGTAAACATTATATCTATCGTTTTAGAATTGAATTGACAACATGATGTGGCGAATGGTATGTTATGACTTAATTGTTCAATTAATTATGATGTGAGTTTGTTGACATGAAATGAGATGTTGTGTGTAATGTGAATGTGATGTGATTGTGATTCCTCACACCTATGTCAGGGGTGGCACGACGTTGGGCAAGAGATGCTACAAGGGTGGCGTGACCTTGGCATAGTGTGGGATGTGTGAAGTAATTAACACTTATGTCAGGGGTGACACGACCTTGGGCAATAGATGCTACAGAGGTGGCGTGACCTTGGCATAGTATTAATTGCAAGATTTGTGATGATTATGAATGAAATGTGATTGTGGTTCCTCACACTTATGTTGGGGGTGGCACGACCTTGGGCAAGAGGTGTTACAGGGGTGGCGTGACCTTGGCATAGTGTGAGATGTGTGATTCCTCACACTTATGTCAAGGGTGGCGCGACTTTGGGCAAGAGATGCTACAGGGGTGGCGTGACCTTGACATAGTGTTAATTGCAAGATTTGCAATGGATTGGCGTGATTGTGAATTGTGATGTGAAGATGATGCATGATTGATAGAATTAGGATATATAGAAATGCTTGTAAATATTTCATTAAGTAATGAGTTATAATGAGATTATGTGGTGGCTTTTTCTTGTGTGTTTTACATATAGATGTTCTCTTTTCTCACCATACAATTTGTGGATGTTTTAGGTGAGGAAGATCCGGCTATGAGTGACATCTAGAATACCAACAGTTGAATTGTGGGTGTGCTATGATATTGTGACATCGGGGCAGAGGATTTCTAAGACATGGATTTTTATATGTAGTTGGACTTGTACTTATTATTTTAAAAACAATTTGTAAACTCTTATGTTTTATTTTCCAATTTTTATTTCCAATTATTTTGGATATTGAAGAACATTTATGAATTTTTTTATGTGAACCCTTTTACCAATGTTGAAAAATTTATTTCCTTAGTTTATTTACATTATTACAATATATGTGTTTGGGTAGTAAGGGTGTCACATTTAGTGGTATCAGAGTAGGTCGATCCAATCGACCGTGAGTTATGAGTCGCTATGCTTGTTTGGTAGATGAATGATGGAATGAATTGATTGTGGAACTTATTGATATGCTAGTGTGATGATTGATTATGTTTGTTATTTATTTAATTATAGTATAATTTTTAACTTTTCTGTGGATCATAAGAGTAATGGTAGGAGGTAGGAATGATCGTGCAATCGCTGATGCTCTACAAGCGATGGCTTAGGATCTCGGTACTTTGAACCAACGACCATAGGTAGATTGGCTAGAAAGATTCTAGCAAAAGAATTCGCCAAGCTTCCATAGGGGTTATAATCCTAATGGAGCTGCTGACTGGATTTTTGAGGTTGAAAAGATATTCCAAGCTTTGGGATGTCCTTTGGCGCAGAAGGTGACTTTGGCTGCCTTCATGCTTTCTAGAGATGTTGAGGTTGTTAGAAAAGAATGGCTCAATCCAAGAGGGGGGTGAATTGGATTCTATGACACTTAAAAAATTTATCAGAGTTTTAAGGATCTTTATTTCAAATTTAACTTTTCTAATATGAATTATCAAAGAAGTTTCTTGAAAGACTTGCCAATGGGAATGAGTCCTATATGCTTTCTTGATTAATCTTGATTAAGTCCAGTTTTAAGAACAACCAATACGCAATACTTTGATTCAGTTTAAAGCAATGTTAAGCATACAACCATATTAATCAAGATCACTAAGATTTTGCTCAATGTAAGAGATAAGGGTGAGAGAAGAATGCACAAGTATTTTATCTTGGTTCAGCCACTCCACATGTGACCTACATCCATTCCTCAATCATAACATGATCAAGATTTGTTCCACTATCTCAATGAGGAAGTTTTACAAGCATACCACACATGCATGTACTCCTACATTCAAGATAACCACTTTCTTGCCCCCAAGAATGCACTTCTTGTAGAAACCCACTATAAGAATTCCTTTCTACTTGAGACACCTACTCAAGATTTCCCTTACACTTTACACAAAGAATTAAAGGAACGAATTCACCTGGAAGCTGAACAAGTTAGACTGTGGATTCCAAAAGAAAATCTTAATCTTTCTTTCCTAAGAATGTAGTGATGATGATGATCTTTTTCAAAGCATTTCACAAAATTTTTTTCTTCTTGGTATCACAAAGAAAACACTCCAAGAAGGTCACAAAGACTCAACAATATCATTTTCTCTCTCTTTTGTTTTCAATTCATCTCACTTCTTAAGTTTCAAAGTGTGAAAGCTATTTATAAAGTTTTCAGATCCAGATAATCGATTATTTTAAAGGATAATTGATTATTTTATTCTTCATGATTTATGAAAACCACTCAAGAACAGAATAATCGATTATTTTGCAGGATAATCGAGTATTCTAGAGAGTACTTCCTGGAATAATCAATTATTTCACAGATAATCGATTATTATAGCAAGGCTCGTTTCACCTGTTGTTGGAATAATCAATTACACTTAATGATAATCGATTATTTTGAGTTAGCTTTCAAAAACTCAATTTTATACTTCAAAAATCTTTTCAAGTATTTTAAATCATCATCACTCTCACTCTCAATCAATTTAGATTAAGATTAACTCATGCACAAAGCATACATATGCAAAATAAGCTAATCAAAATAATACAACACATAAGAACTTATAAGCTACTCCTATTACACATCATGATATTCATATCTTCTTCTTGACTGGTTTGTGTCCTTGGTCAGCTTCAACTCCCAGAATCCATCCTTTGTTATCATCAAAACTCTCATACTCCAGGGCCAAGTTGATTTACTACTCCATGAATGTCAACAGGGGTCTGGTGGCAAGGTGCTTTACAGAGAATGTTTGTTGTAGGTACCCATGTGAACTTGGAGAATTTCAAGCATTTATTCATGGAGAAATACTTTCCACGAGATGTGAGGCATAGGAAGCAAGTGGAATTCCTTGAGTTGAAGCAAGAAGAGGATTCTGTGGCTGAGTGTGTGACTAAGTTTAAAGACCTTGTTAGATTCTGTCCCATGTATGATGGTGTGGGTAATGAAGAGGACAAGTGTGTGAAGTTTGTGAGTGGTCTTCACCTTGAGATCAAACAAGTTTTCAATTATCAAGGGATCACTCAATTTCATGAACTGGTAAACAAGTGTCATGTCTATCATGAGGACAACTGTGCTAGAGTAACTCATTATAAAAGTGAAGGACCCATGAAGAATCATAATAAGTTTGGTTCATCTAGTAAGGGTAAACCTTACACCAAGTTTGTTGGGGATTCGAGTTCTAAAGTGAATAACCAAGGTTTTGTGCAACAAAAGAGCCAAGCTCCAATAGCTAGCCAAACTTATAGAGGAGGGAGTGTGGGTTGTATTCCACGCAATAACTGCTTCAACTGTGGGAAGCCAGGTCATAGGGCATATGAGTGTCGGGTGCCAAGAGTATTAACATGTTTCAATTGTCAAGAGAAAGGACAAAAAGCCCCTGAATGCCCCAAGAACAAGAAAGGCATAACAGAATTTGGAGGGAGCGCTAGCAAACTTAAGGTAACAGGAAGGGTGTTTGCCTTGAGTGGTGCTGAAGCTACTCAGTCCAAAGACTTAATCCAGGGTATGTGTTTCATCAATGGAACTCCTCTAATTGTTTTGTATGACTCTGGTGTGACTCACTCTTTCATATCACATGCGTGTGTGTCCAAGTTAAAATTACATGTTTCTTCCTTGTCTTTTGAATTAATAGTAGAGACACTAACTAGTGGTTCAATTTCTACTTTTGATGTCTGTTTAAAGTGTCCTTTGAGTATTGATGGTAGAAATTTCATGGTTGACTTAATTTGTTTGCCCTTAAGTCAACTAGATGTTATTCTGGGTATGGACTGGTTATCTTCCAATAATGTCCTTTTGAATTGTGCTGATAAATCTATTATTTTTGGTGAGCCTGTTGAAAAAGTGAGTAAGGACTATTTGACTGCCAACCAAGTTAAGGTATCTTTGCAAGAGGATGCCCAAGTGTACATGTTGTTAGCTTCTTTAAATTCTGAGAGTAATGTTTTGGTGAATGAATTGCCTGTTGTGTGTGACTTTTCAGATGTCTTCTATGATATTTCTAGCTTACCACCTAAAAGAGAAGTAGAGTTTTCCATAGACTTAGTACCAGGAACATGACCTATTTCTATTGCACCTTATAGGATGTCACCCGCAGAGTTAGTGGAGCTTAAGAAGCAAATAAAGGACTTGTTGGAGAAGGGGTTTGTGAGGCTTAGTGTATCACCTTGGGGAGCGCTCGTACTCTTAGTTAAGAAGAAGGATGGTAGCATGAGATTGTGTGTAGATTACCGCCAATTAAATAAGGTAACCATTAAGAATAAGTATCCATTTTTAAGCCAGAAGAAAAAACTCCAAACAAGGTTTTGAGTGAGACAAATATAATACATGTTGTTATCTCTAACGAGTGTTTTAGTGTTTCAGAAAAACATAAGATCAGGTAAAATGAAGAATAAGACAAAAGCACGTCAAGCACAATCTAAGGCGAAACATAAAGACTCAGACGCAAGATGGTCAACGACCAAAAAGAAACTCCAGAAGAAATGAAAAGTCTGACCATATATATAAGCTGACCAGGTGAAAGGAAAAGTCAATACGTTAATAACAAATGCTTAGACAAAGGTTGAAGTTTGAGCTACATATAAGACTACCAGACGCAGACGAAAAATTGTCACGCAATCACTTGAGGAATCAAGCCTCAAAGAATAATTTGAATATCTTCCACACTCACAGGAGAACACACGAAGTCATCTGAATTGTAAGAAGAAAAGAGGAAAGGAGAAAATCAAGCGCAGAACTAGAAGCATGCAGGTGTTAGAAGAAATACATTACTTTTTTAGACAAGGACAAAACTTCACAGCTCTGAGACCAAAAAAGGACAAAAAGGTTCCTAGGTCTTTGCTAAACTTAGACACTACTGCTACCAAGACAAAAAACACGTCACCCAAGGTCTATCACAGGAAGCAACATTTAATGCAAGAATCTGAGCATTAAATGAGAAGATCAAACTGGTCGTGAACGACTACATCTGCTTCAACGAACACTTGTAACGGGCAGATTTCACAAGACTATATATAGGTCTCAACATCAAACCTTAAAAAACGCTGGCTATTTGGCCCAAAAGGGTGCAAGCGTGAAGAAATAGTGATACCCAACCCATGATGCAACAAAATCAGAGACAAGGCGTATAGAGTAAAAAGTACATTAATGTGTTTGTCTTAGTGAACTACGAAATTTCAAATATGTACATCTTAGCATCAAACCGTAGTGAGTGTAGAAACATATGTATCTTCTCCTTGAGAGTAACCCAAACACTCAAACCAAACTTGTCTAGCCAATATTGTAGAGCCTGAAGAGGCTAGGAAAAGAATACTTGTAAAGCCTAGAGGGGCTTGTCAAAGAATACTCACTACGAGCCTGAAGAGGCTGATTAAAGAATACTAGCGCTGGTGAATGAAGCTGGCGGGCCAGGAGTGGTTGAAAATACTTGGGCTAGGAGTGGTTCTAACCTGGGTGGTTCATAATACTCACTGCTAGCTAAAAGTGGCTGATAAGAGTATACGAGCACTGGTGAGAGAAGCTGGCGGGACAGGAGTGGTCGAGAATACTTGGGGAACCAAAAGTGGTTTAAGAATACTAGTGCTGGTGAGTGAAGCTGGTGGGCCAGGAGTGGTCGAGAAGACCTGGAGAACCAGAAGTGGTTTAAGAATACTAGCGTTGGTTAGTGAAGCCGACAGGCTAGGAGTGGTCAAGAATACTTGGAGAACCAGAAGTGGTTTAAGAATACTAACGTTGGTGAGTGAAGCCGACGGGCCAAGAGTGGTCAAGAATACTTAGGTCCAGGAGTGGACGATAATACTCACTGCTAGCCTGAAGAGGCTGATAAGAATATACTAGCGTTGATGAGTGAAGTCAACGGCCAAAAGTGGTCGATAATACTTGTGTATTAAATTGCATATCTAGTGGAACCCTTCAGTTGAAGGAGACTGGACGTAGCTCAGTTGAGCGAACTAGTATAAAATGGTTATATTGTTTTATTTATATTTCAAACAGAAACTCTTTTTAATTGATAAATCATATTAAAATCTTTGTCTACTATCTACTCCTCATTAAAACCATTTTTCAGACAGAAATGCAAATTTTGTTTAACAAACATATTATACTGAAAAGTTTTATCTACTGCTTATCCTTAAATGAAATGATCTTGAAAAGGAAAATGCAAGAACTTTAATTATCATTATAAACCATTTTCCTAGTAGACGATAAAATCTTTCAGACGCAGTGACCTTGTCTTAACCAAATTCTGCCTAACCGTTTGATATTCGAAAGTGCATTGGATGAAGTATATTATTCTTGCGAAAATGATTTCAAAATTTCTTCATACACACACACATATTCAATCTCCCCTTCTATCTGTCTTTCCGCTAACTTCATCTATTTCCTAGGATAGATGACCTTATGGACCAGTTGGTGGGTGCTAGTGTATTTAGTAAAATTGACCTTAGATCGGGGTACCATCAGATTAGAGTTAAGGATGAGGATATAACCAAGAAAACATTTAGGTATCAGTATGGACATTATGAGTATCTAGTAATGCCTTTTGGTGTGACGAATGCTCCAGCAATTTTTATGGATTACATGAATCGAATTTTTCATCCGTACTTGGATAAATTTGTAGTTGTCTTCATAGACAACATACTAGTTTATTCCAAGACTAGAGAAGAGCATAAGGAACACTTAAAGGTAGTACTTCAAACTCTCAAGGAGAGACAACTTTATGCCAAGTTGTCTAAGTGTGGATTTTGGCTAGATGAGGTGAGTTTCTTAGGACATGTGATTTCCAGTGGGGGTATAGCAATAGATCCATCTAAACTTGAGGCGGTGCTTAAGTGGGAGGCACCCAAGTCAGTTAGTGAAGTTAGGAGCTTCCTTGGATTGGCTGGGTACTACAGAAGATTCGTAGAGGGATTCTCTAAGTTAGCATTACCCTTGACAATTTTAATTAGGAAGGGAGTTGTGTTTGTGTGGGATAGTAAATGTGAGAATAGTTTCCAAGCCCTTAAGGAGAAGTTAACTAGTGCACCTATTTTAGTGTTGCCTGACCTTAGTAAGACTTTTGTGGTTTATTATGACGCTTCTAAGATGGGTTTGGGTAGAGTGTTAATGCAAGAAGGAAAAGTGGTAGCTTATGCATCTAGACAATTGAAAATACATGAGAAGAATTACCCCACCCATGATCTTGAATTAGCAGTTGTGGTATTCACACTTAAGATTTGGAGACATTATTTGTATGGTTCAAAATCTGAGGTGTTTAGTGATCATAAGAGTCTTAGGTATTTATTTGACCAAAATGAATTAAATATGAGGCAGAGGAGATGGTTAGAGTTCCTTAAGGACTATGATTTTGATCTTAGTTATCATCCGAGAAAAGCCAAAGTGGTGGCTGATGCTTTAAGTAGGAAATCTTTGCATTTGTCTTCTCTTATGATAAGGGAGTTGGACCTTTTGGCTCAATTTAGAGACCTGAGTTTGACTTGTGAGGTGACCCCTAGTAGTGTGAGACTAGGTATGACTCGAGTGACTAGTGATTTGTTGAGGAAAATTGGAAAAGCACAGTTAGTGAATTCATTCTTAGTGGCTAGACGTGATGCTATAGGACAAGGTATTGAAGGAGAATTTACTTTGGGTGTAGATGAAGTGTTAAGATTAGAGACTGAGTGTGTGTGCCTAGTGACCCTACACTTAGACGTTTGATCTTAGAAGAAGGTCATAGGAGCAAGCTTAGTTTCCACCCAGGAGCAACTAAGATGTATCAAGACATTAGGAAGGTATTTTGGTGGCCTAGGATGAAGAAAGACATAGCTGAATTTGTGAGTGCTTGTTTAGTGTGTCAGAAGGCTAAGATAGAGCATTAGAAACCTTCAAGACTACTTTAGCCTTTGAGTATACCCGAGTGGAAGTGGGATAACATTTCTATATGGACTTTGTAGTTGCTTTGCCTAGGATTGTGAGAGGGCATGATTCCATTTGGGTTATAGTTGATAGGTTGACTAAGAGTGCACATTTCTTATCTATTAACATTAGGTATTCTCTAGAGAGATTGGCTAGACTATATATTGATGAGATTGTGAGATTGCATGGGATACCATCAAAGCATAGTGTCAGACAGAGACCCTAAATTCACCTCTAGGTTTTGGGAGAGCCTACAATGAGCTTTAGGGACCCAACTTAGACTTATTTTAGCTTCCCACCCTCAAACTGACGGTCAGACTGAGAGGACTATCCAATCCTTAGAGGACTTGCTTAGAGCCTGTGTGTTGGAGCAAGGAAGTAGTTGTGATAGTCTTTTATCTTTAATAGAGTTTACCTATAATAATAGTTACCACTCTAGTATAGGTATGGCACCTTAGGAAGCCTTGTATGGTAGGAGGTGTAGGACCCCTTTGTGTTGGTGTGAGCCGGGTGATAATGTTATCTTTTTAGGACCTGAGATTGTGTAACAAACCACTGATAAGGTTAAGATGATACAAGAGAGGATGAGGGCAACTCAGAGTAGACAAAAAAGTTATGCTGATAGAGGAAAGACTTGGAATTTCAAGAAGGTGACCATGTGTCCTTGAAAGTCACTCCGTGGACTGGGGTTGACAGGGCATTGAAATCCGGAAAACTTACTCCTTGATTTATTGGTCCTTTCCAAATTCTGAAAAGAGTTGGTAGCATTGCCTACCAAATTTCTTTGCCTCCTAATCTGTCAAATCTTCATGATGTTTTCCACATCTCCCAACTTCAGAAATACATCCATGATCCTTCGCATGTGATCGAGTCGGATCATCTTGAGGTTAAGGAGAACTTGACAATGGAAACTACTTCGGTGAGAGTCGAGGACCGAATGCTGAAGCAACTTAGAGGTAAGGAAATTCCTTTGGTGAAGGTAATTTAGGGAGGAGCTACACCTAAAAGTGCTACTTTGGAGTTAGAGGAGAAGATGAAAGCATCATATACGTTTTTATTTGTTTAAGGTAATTTCAGGGACAAAATTTCTAAAAGGAGGGGAGAATTATAACATCCCGAATTTTTTACTAATATAATAGTTATTATTATTATTTTTATATTTATGGATA